ACTTAAGTTCTGAGTTTGCTTACTTGTAAAATGGGGAGAAGACTTGCACTACCCACCTCAAGGGGTTGTGAACTCTTAAGTGAGCTATTATGATAATGAACTGGAGCAGAGGACAACTGGACTATGGTCTCCTTTGTTGTGGGCACTGGGCTTCTGTTGATGCTGCCCGAGATCCCACCAGCTTTGGTGCCTGCCCTGTCATATCCTTCATGTGGGTGTGATTGGGCTTGCTGTTCACTGAAGCCCCTTTGTTCTTTAACCTGGAGGTATGCAAGCAAGCACCTTGGAGGTATGTGAGTCTGACTCATGGTTGGCTGGGCTAGATGGTCCCTTCTGACTCTGAGGCTCTGACATCCCTCCCATTTTCATGTCACCCGCTGAACCCAGCCAAGCCTCTTACGGCCAGTCCTGTTGTGCTGGGCCTGCCCCTGCCTCCCAGCCCGTGTTACTGGACCCTTGCCCCTTCCTCACCAGCCTGGGAGGGGTCATAGAGGGAGAGAGAGATTGAGAAAGACCTCCTACGAGAGGTGACGTTTGAGCTGAGACTTGGAGAAAGCCAGGAGTCAGGAGGGAAGAGGAGAAGCATTCCAGGCAGGGAGAAAAGTTCGTGTAAAACTGAGGTCAGCATGACAGGTCCAGCAAATAAGCCAATGGAGCCGGATTGTAGCAATCATAGAATCTAGAGTTGGAAGGGCCTTAGTAAGCATCTAGTTCAGCAGCTCCATTTTACAGAAACTGAAATCAGAGAAAGGAGGAGGCTTTGCTTAGGTCATACAGCTAGTAAGGGGCAAACTGGGGCTTCTGTCCCCGAGTCTGATGGATGCCGTGACTCCCTGATGCCTCTGAACAGGAAGCAGGATCATAGAATACAGCCAGATTGCTGGAAGGAATCTCAGAAGAGTCTGGGCCAACCCTTTCATTTGCAAATGAAGAAATGGAAGCCCAGAGAGAGTAAGTGATTCAGCCATAATCACACAGGCAGCAAGGCAGGTAATGGCTTTTTGCCAGTGGCTAATGAGAAATGAAACCTAGAGCAGGATATATACAAGAGTGACCTGAGCATCTCCCACTGCCACCAACAAGTTCCTGGCCCTTACCACCTCATGCCTGGTCTAGTTTCTCAGCTCACACACTCTTCCTCCTCTGGTGTATCTTGCAAATCCCTCCCATCTTAATCTTCCTTTATGTTTATTTTGGGTAGCTAGATGGCTCAGTGGATAGAGCACTGGGTTTGGAGTCAGGAAGACTCTGCTTCATGAGTTCAAATGCATCCTTAGACACTTACTAGCTGTATGACCCTGGGCAAGTCACTTAACACTGTTTGTCTTCGTTTCCCCATCTGTAAAATGAGCTGGAGGAAAAAAAAAAGACAAACTATTCCAGCATCTTTGCCAAGAAAACCCTAAATGGGTCATGAAGAGTCAAACACACACACTGAACAACAACAGCAAATGTTTATTTCACTCCATTTTCATTGTTTATAAACCTCCAATGATTCTCTGTTGCTTATCCAGAACAAAAACAAAAACAAAACCAAAAAAGAGTCCAACTATTTAATCTGGCATTCAAGGCCTTTCACAACCTGGCTACCTTCCCAGCCTTATCTCCTGCCTTATTTAATATACAAACCCTCTGGTTCTAACTAACACGATATAATGAAGTGAGTCTGGGGCTTTCAAGGCAAGAGACCTGGGTTCAAATTCTAACTCTGACACTTATTACCTGTGTGACCCTGAACAAATCATGTCACTTTTTTGTAATTTCAATTTTCTCATCTTTAAAATGAGGATAATTCCATGTATTATCTACCTTCTGCTGTTGTGAAAGAATCTTTGTAAACCCCAGAGCTTTGTAGGAATGAGACCTCTTGGTATCAGCCAAACAGGACTCTCTGTTCCCTGAACACATCATGTATTTTCCATCCTTGGTACTTTTGTGAGTTTATCTGGAGTTCCACCTGGAGTACCTCCCAACTACACCCATCTCCATTAACCAAGGTTCCAGTGACTCACCTGTATCACCACAACCTTCCATGAAGCTTTTCCTATCCTTTCCGGCCTCCACCATCACTAGGAATGAATTCTGCCTCCCTTGCACACTTATAATATTCTTTGTACCTCTCCTGTGGTTCCTGAAACCTACTACCATGGATTATACATTTTGTGCATATGTATTACTTCAATACCTACCCAAATGAGTCAAGATTCTAGCCAATTAGCTGCTTCCTTCTTTGATGCAGAATGTACCTCCACACATTTGTCAAGTTACGTCAACGATCATTGACTAAGCACCTACTGTGTGCCAGTACTCTGCTAAGTGCTGGGGATAACAAAGAAAGGCAAAAATCAAGTAGTCCCTACTCTGGAGGGGCTCACAGTCTAATGGGGGAGACAACGTATGAACCCCTATGTACAAACAAGTTGTATGCAGGATAGATAGAGGGGGTCATTTTAGAGAGAAGGCACTAAGATTAAAGAGGCCTAGGACAGGCAGTGGGACTTTAGCTGAGGCCTGAAGGAGGCTAGGGAAGTAGGGGAGCAGAGAAGAGGGTGGAAAACATTCCAGGCATGGGAGATAGACAGTGAAAATGTTTGGAGTTGGTAGACAGAGTGTTTTGTGGAAGGAACAGCAAGGTCAATGTCACTGGAATTCAGGGTACATGGAAGAGAGTAAAGTGTGTGAAGAATAGAAAGGAAGGAAGAGGGTGGTTTATGAAGGGCTTCAGAAGCCAAACAGAAGGTTTTCTGTTTGATCTGGGAAGTAATAGGGGAGCCATTGGAGTTTATTGAATGAGGACAGAAACAGCAGGGTGACATGGGCACGACTGTTCTTTAGGAAGATCAATTTGATAATTGAGTGGAAAAAGGACTGGAGAGGAGAGAGACCTTTGTTGGCAGTTTTCTGAGTTTCTGTGACCAAAAAAATTGCCATTTGGGGCAGGGGCTCACTCAGCTAGGCTGGTCTTTGTACATCAAAACATATGTGTGCGAGCACACACATATACACCCATGAACACATACATATGCACACACACATAAACACACACGAAGAGTCCATCTACAGACTTGTTATGCTGGAAGCCTTTGGAGTTTTCTAGGATGTGTCAGAACACGCACCCCAATGGCAAAGCCTTCAGAAACTAAGGATCATCTCCATAGAGCACAAGAAGGGCTTTTGTAAAGGGTACATCACTCCTCTTCGGTGTCAAACTGTGTGTTTTTGGGAGGATGGGGATTGTTTCTTATTCATTTCTGTTCCCTTAGCACATAACATGGGAGCCTTACTAATCACAGGTGCTTAATAGACTTAAGTTGAAGTCCAGTAAACATGTCCAGTCTATTCTGATGAGCATTTGTTAAGTGACTATAAGCAAAGCGCTGTGCTAGGTGCAAAGATACAACCACAACAAAAAGTCCCTACCCTCAGGGAGCTTCCATTCTACTGGAGGGATACAAGATGAATCATATATCTATATATGCATTTGTGTAATATGTGTGTGTGTATGATAATTTGAAGGGGGACAAAGAGAGACAGAGAAACAGACACAGAGAACACTAGCTGCCAATGGGAATCAGGAAAAGCTATTATTCCTGTGCTGAGCCTTGAAGGAATCCAGAGGGTATAAAAGTTAGAGCTGAAGAAGGAGTACATTCTCACGTAATACTAGCTAGCATTTAAGATTTTTGCTAAGCACTTTAGATATGCTATCTCACTTCTTCCTTGCAACAACTCTAGGAGGTAGGTGCTATTATTATCCTCATTTTACAGATGAGGAAACTGAGGCTAAAAAAAGCAACTTGCCCAGGGTCACAGCTAGTAAGTGTCTGAGGTTGGATTTGAACTCAGGTCCACTGTACCTACTAGATGCCCCATGGGGGGCAGCCTGGCCAGCCTAGCTCCAGCTTCAGCTTGCACGTGCCTGGTAGCTAAGGGAGAAGTTTCAGTGTCAATAGTCTGATGAGATGCTTTCTGCCACACCTAAATTAAGGTAGTATGTGGGACCCTTCACTCTCCTCTAAAAAACCCTGTAGGGAGTCTGTGGTTCTTTTTGCTGACTGTGCTCAGCTCCTGCTTTCTATAACTTGCTCATTAGAAGCATCTTAGAATATGAGCTTAGACTCATAATGCCATAGAACATTAGAATTAACAAGGACCTTGGAGAGATCATCTAGGCTAATCCTCACATGCTCCAGGCGATAGAAGTGAGGGCCAAACAGGAAAAATGACTTGCCCAGGGTTCCACAGCAAGTTAGGACCCAAACTGGAACAAGAACCCAGGTCTTCTTATTTCCAACCCAGAATTCTCTCCACGTCACCTTGTCATGATGCCTGGACAGATGGTTGTTTGATGACATGTAGCAGCCCACTCTATAACTCTCCTTTGGGGAGGGGGTACAGAGGTGTCAATATGGTTGATATTTCATAGTCTCAGGCAGCAACCTGGAGAGCCCTGAAAGGTTGTAGTAGGGAGAAGAAAGAAAAGGTCTGGAGATTAAAAGAGAGAGAAAGAAGAAAGAGAGAGACAGAGAGAGAGGAGAGAGACAGAGACAGAGAGAGAGAGAGAGAGAGAAAGACAGAAAGAGAAAAATATAGAGTGAATGAAAGAAAGGGGGAGAGAAGGAGGGGAGAAGGAAGCAAGAGAGAGGTGAAAGAAAGGAATAAGAGGGAGAAAATAAAATGAGAAAGAAAGAGAAGAGAAGAAAGACATGAAGAGAAAGGAAGAAAGAATAAATGTTGGGTGAAGATTAGAAATTTTTTTGATTGAGGCGCCAGGAGGAAGGATGGAGATGAGCATTTTATTAAGTACCCACTATGTGCTAAGCACTTTACAAATATTTTCTCAAGGTCAAGAAAATAAAAAGTTTAGTCTGAGCTGTTAGTTTCCCACTAAATTCAAGTTGCCTGGAAAGCAGGCATTGACGAAGACCATAGACATGAAACTTGGTCCAGCTGCAGGCAGCCCAGGAAATCCCCTCACCCTGAACGCTTTCCTCTTGCAGGTTGATTCGTACAACTCAGATCCCCTGATCTGCCATACAGGATTGAAGGTTTGCTTTGGTATCCAGTTGCTGAATGCCGTATCCAGGGTGGAGAGGGCCCTCCCCAGGCTGACGCTGCCGATTCTGCTGCTGCAGGGGTCCGCTGACAAGCTGTGTGACAGCAAAGGGGCCTATGTCCTCATGGAAGCTGCCAAAAGTCAGGATAAGACCTTGAAGGTAAACCTCATCTGGGTGTCTGTGCTGGGCTGGCTCTAGGACCAGCCGTGACATGATGGGGGATCACCAAGTCATACAGAAAAGCAGGAACAGATCTTAGAGGTCACCGAGTGCACCCTCAGTCATTGGTAGAGAAGGAAACTGAGGTTCAGAGGGGTCAAGTGACTCTTCATAGATGCCAAGACTTGGCCCTTGGTCCTGTGACTCTCAGCACAGGCTTCTCTCTACTACTGCATATGACCTCGGGTATCAGGCCTGGGGATGCACAGCCCAGTTACCTCTGAGCTGTAGCAAGGACAGTCTCAAATATGGGTATCATTGGCTCCAGTCCATTCTGATAGGCATGGCCCAGCCGTGTGTGTGTGTGTGTGTGTGTGTGTGTGTGGTGTGTGTGTGTGTGTGTGTTACTGAAGCCTCTGTTGGAGTTGTTGACATGCAAGGTATTCCAAGAGCCTTACTTTTTCCAACTCTTTTCTTTCTCTTTCTCTTCCTCTTCTCTCTCTCTCTCTCTCTCTCTCTCTCTCTCTCTCTCTCTCTCTCTCTTCTCTCTGTCCTTCTCTTCTCTCTCTCTCTCTCTGTCTCTCTCTCACTCTATTTCTCTTTCATCTCTACACCTCTTTTCTCTCCCAGCCCCACTAGTGTGGTTTTCATCTTTAACAGTTTAAAAATACACTGAGACTTTTGAAACATCCTGTGTTTGGGGTAAGAGAGCAGGCCTGGTTTAGGAGAGTGCAGTGTGTGAAAGGACCTGGATTGGTGCTGACTGAGCAAAGGACTCTAAGCTTGAGGTGAGAAGGCTGGAGGAAGCCATGACTACATTCTATAATCTCCAAATTGGCTTTCAGATCATTCTGTGTGAGTAAGAAGTATGGCCAATACTCTTCCCTCAGTGACCGAAAGGGAAAATACCTCGGGCACACAGCATCTACAAAGAGGCTGGTGCTGACGTCCCCGCAAGGATACCAGAGGTCCAGTCCCTTTGATGGTGCTGGTCTCCTCTTTCTCTCTCTCCCCACTGGATAGTTGTGCACTCCTGACACCCATAATGTTATACTCTTCTCAAGCTACAAATGATATTAAGATACTATGAGACAGGCCTACAGAAACTGAAAAGAGCTTGTACTACCCTGAGAAGGTAAAACTGAGCAGACTCCAGAGATCCAGGGAGGCTGAGCAGAAGAGCCATAGCTGGTGGGGGGTAGTCATAGCCGTCCTAGGTGGAGACTGGGAGGGGAGGGGTTCTCCATCTTTTTGAGCCAAGGATTCAGACAGAAGGGGGCTGTGGATCAGAAATTAAAACCTTGATGGGGGGGATCAGAGAGGTGGTGCAGTGGATAGAGCTCCAGCCCTAGAGTCAGGAGGACCTGAGTTCAAATCCAGCCTCTGACACTTGACACTTACTAGCTGTGTAACCTTGGGCAAGTCACTTAACCCTGACTGCCTCACCAAAAAGCAAAAAACAAAAAGCCTTGCTGGACTCTGCACGTGGCAGTGACAGCCCCATCGACAGCCAACAATCTGTAAGAATGACTACGGATTGATAGCCTATGTCTTTACAGCCCTATAAAATATATAAAGCACCTTTCCTCACAGCAACCCTGTGGAGGAGATAGTACTATATGTATGGTGTGTGCTTGTGTATACACAGAAACAAATATACATATATGTTTTTATATATATACAAATACATATATATACATACACACAAGGGTACATGTGTGTGTATGTGCACACAATGCATATGTGTACATATACACATACTGCTGTGTTTATATGCCCAGGGCATATAGGGGCTATGTGTATTGCATTGCACATGAGTGTAAGTATGTTGTGTGTATGTGCATGTGTACATGTGTGTCTGTATAGGTGGACATAAAATATTATATAGAATATGTACCTATGTTTAGAAACATATACATACATGTACACATGTGTGTATATGCATATTATGTGTATGTGTACATATATAATATTTCTATATAATAGCCATTTTATAGATGATGAAGCAGAGTCTCAGAGAGATAAGATGGCCTCATGATTCATCCTAGGTCACTCAGTTCTTAAGCTTCCAAGCTGGGGTGAGAGTCCAAGTGTTGTGATGCCCAGATCATGGTCATTTGCCCTGTGCCATGCTGCCACCCTCTAATAGTTGCCCTTTTGGTACTGATCACCATCAGTAAGTCTTTACTGGATATCCGTTGGTCTTTCCGGCCCCACTTTTTGTAGACAGATTGAAGATCTGAAATCAGATTCAACAGAAAGGAGCCTACGTGGTCTGCAGTGGGCTTAGTGATCCTGAGGCGTAGGTCCATGTTGTAAACTTTCCCGTGCATTTCAGGCACCCATGCCTGTGTCTTCTCTCTGCTCTATCCTTGGTGAATCTGACCATCTGTTTTTTTTCTTGGCCGCAGATCTATGAAGGTGCCTACCACGTGCTCCACAAGGAACTTCCCGAAGTGACGAGCTCTGTCTTCCACGAAATAAAGATGTGGTTCTCTCAAAGGATAGCTTCAGGAGGAGCCACTTCCAATCCCTAAGCATATCAGCCTGGTTACCATGTCATGGTCTGTGGGATATAGGCAGAGAAAGGGGTGGAAGCTGGTTTCTTGGCTTCGTCTTACCAAAATCTCAAATTGGAGGGATTCCTAGCATAATTTGCTTTAAAAAAAATATGTAGACATTCCTATCATGGGATGACCCCCCTGTCAGCTATTTGAAAATTTCCCTTAAGTGGAGTGGGGTGGGGAGGGAGAAACCCTTTATGGAAAAAGGGTACCAGGTGGGGAAAGAGCTACAGGCAAATCTCAAGATAGGGTCTATATGCCAATGATTATAGGAAGGAGTTCCTCTGCACCAATTCTCCCAGCCCCGATCTGGTTTCTCTTGGAAGCCTTGTATTACATGCGGGGCGGGGTGGGGGTGGAGGGGTCTGTCTCTACCTATACTACAATAGTATTTGCAGTGGCTTTATAACTGACAGTTTGTTGAGTTTCTCATCCTAACGTGATCTATATCAAAAGGACTTCTGTTCTGTTCCCCCACTTCCCACCTCCCATTTGTTGTTCTTATCGACAGAAAGTGAGTCCTAAAGCCAGAGGAGCCAGGTAGTAGCCTGTCTAGTCATGGGATCAGTGTAAGTCATTCCATGATCTAATTCATGGCTAGTTTAGCTGGCTGGGATTGTAGAGCCTCCAGGGGGAGGCTGCCATCCCACAGAAAAACTGAACATGGGGGCGCATTAAGCTCCTTCTCAATATAATCAGGTTTTCAGGGGAAAATGAGATGAAATACTCAAAAGGAGCATGAAAAATAACAGCACACAAACCAACACAACGGGAGACAATTCTCTATTTTCCCCAAATAGACCCTTCCCCTTTCAAAGGACAGAAACCTTGGAGTTAACAGACAGATCTGCTATATACCTTCAAAGAGTCTGCCTAGACTTGTTTAACCACTGACACTATGAAAGAAAAAGCCGTATTTAATATAAAATGTTTAATATATGATGCATATTATAAGACATATCGTATTTTGGTGATTGGGAGAAGACTAATTATCAGAGACCAAGGAGGGTTTGAGAGAACCTTGCTAAAAAAAAAAAGGCCATGGTGGATATGGGTGAAACCATCAAGACCTAAGACAGTTGTCCAGCATAGCTCTTCACGTCTCTGTCTTCTTCAAAGAGTGCCATTAGGATCACTTATATCTCTTAACATGGCCCTAGGCATCTGTCTTTGCCCCCAGCTTTGCTCTTCAGCCTTGGGGGGAAAGACAAGAATGGACTCTGCTGGTGGGGGCCCAGAAGTGTTCCATTGCTCTTTGGAAGATGGTCATCACTCTGAAGAAGAACAGGGTCCCTCCCCCAACTCATATCCCCCAGAATGACTCTCTAGAAGAGAGCAGCTATGCCCACAGACATCTGCCAGCTAAGGCCCAACTGTCTCTCAGAGTAAGAACCAGAATGACCTGTGAAATATGAGCATTAGAAATGAGATAGTTTGCACAGACAACTAGTGGTACCAACAGTGTGCTGCTTGGGTGGTCTGCTGTCAAGGAAGCCAAAGCATGTCTGAACTGCCCAGAAGATGCTCAGGAGATAAAATGAGAGAAAACAGGAGCTTGCAAGGTGATGTTGGTGTGCGTGATGAGCAAACCCTGGAGACAGTCTTCCTTCCTTCATCAATTCTGCATGGAGGGCACTTCTTATGCCAGGGTTTCCCATCAAGTCCATGGTGTGCAGGGCACTGATTGGCTTTGCCAGATCTAGTCCCTGAATGATGTGGGAGTGTAGAAGACAAAGTGACTCAGCAGTCTTGCTGCTTGGGTAACTGCTCCCTAAATTCCATTTGGTGCCTTCAGAATGAAGTGAGGGCCATCGAACATTTCCTGGAGAAGTCACCAGTACTGAGGACACAGCTACCTCTGGTGGAGGGATCTGGGTGCTCCAAAATTGCCAGCACATTCTCCCCAGTCTTGTCTGGCTCATTGGGAATGGACCTTGGAGAAGAGATGGGGGAATCCTTTGCCTCATTTCCCAAGTTCGCCCAGCAGCACAGTCAGGAGAATTGAACAGCCCTAAGAATACAAAGATGGGAAAGCCAGAAGCAGATTGGAGTTTTGCATAATTGACAAGCAGATTTCAGGGGGAGTCACTTCCTTAATTCAATGAGGGAAACCTGTCATCTCTCTCTCAGGCCCCTAACAGCAGAGTAAGTGGAGCTGGAAGGAGGATGCCTCCAGCCCTGATTCCAGTCCAGTGGCCTGCTTCTTCTCAGGTGTTGTTTCCATCTGCCTCCCTTCTCCTCTCCTCTCCTCTCTTTTCTTCCCCTCAGTGAACGCCAGCAATAAATAGGGGGTCGTGTGGCTAAGACACTGTAGTACTATTTTTTCCAAAATGAACTTTTTCTTTTTAACTCCACATGGTTCATCAGATATAAATTCCACAGCTGTTGTGAACCTCTGAAAGGGACAATTCAAGGAGCAAACCCCCACCATGAAGGTCCTTCCCACCCATCAGTCTGAAGGACTCATTTCTGTTTCCAAAACTGTACATAGACGCCAACTTCACCCACTGAAATGCAACACCAGTTTCACAACAGAGAGGGAAAAATTACATCTTTCTACCACCCTACTGAGAAGTGAGATTTTGGCCAAATGCCTTCTTCCCTCCCTTTCCAGGCTTCAAACTCAGCTTCAGGTGAAGGTGAGGAAAAGTCTTGAGAAAGGCGTTTATTGCCACATCTCCCAGGAGCTAAACAGGTGCTTCTTGCTCCCATTCCAGCTCGACTCATTGCCACTTTTGTGGGGCACCAGTTTGTATGGCTAGGTTATGGTAACTGGCAGTAAAAACTACTTCTGGTACAGCCTCACCCATACCTACCATCTCCAGGAACTCACTTTGGCCATGGGAGCCTGGGCTCAGGGAAGAGTCGATGAGATAAGCCACCTCACAGAGATGGAAACCTCTTCCCCAACTCCCACAAGACACATCTACCTTGGTCACCTAGCTCAAAGGCCACCCCTATAGGCTGGCAGGAGGGTCTTACTCTTGAGCTCAGTTCCAGTGAGATTCAGAAAATAACAAATGATCCCTGGTGAGATCATGAGCACATAGTAACTTCATACCCACTTTAGCCAGGGCATTACCAAAGGCAGGAGACAGACAGGCACCTGTGGGTTCATTGGCAATAGACACCATTGTCCATTTGGTTTCAGATGTCTAGATGATGTAATTCCCTCCCTTTAGAGTCAGTTGCCTGGGGAGGCAAAAATAATGCAGAGATTGAGTTCTGGGCAAAAGATTAACCTACATATGCTTAGCAGGCCCAAAGAATCTATCAAAAGGGCACCATTTTTTAGCTGACAAAAAAAGCAAAAATCTCGAGTAGGGCCTTTAGTCTTCTAAGCAGTGAATGCTAGCTAGTCTTTAGGATGGGAGAGTTGATCACACTTATCACCCTCTCTCTTCCCCCAGGAGTTCCTTGAAAAAGCACCCACTCACCCACCATCCAGCCCTCCTAAGCCAGGGCCCAGTGAATACTGGGAGGCAGGACCTAGTCTTCCACTGGGCACTTTGAGGCACAGACACCTCAGCTACTACTGAGTTTCTGAAGCAAGGTGTGAAGAGGGAAACTGACTTCTGAAGAAACTGACCCAGGTGCTAGGGCTATTTCACCTAATTGCCGGTGGAGGGACAGTCCCCTCGGACTGAGATCAGTCTTGTTATGGGACAGAAACAAGCAGAGTTTCCCAAGCCTGTAATGAGCAAATGACACAAATCTAAGGAAACTGAGGCAGCCAGCTATGCCTGGCACCCTGGAAGGTGAGGTGGAAACAGAAGCCAAAAGAGGAAGAGGAGGAGGAGGAGGAGGAGGAGGAGGGGAGGAGAGAGAGAGAGAGAGAGAGAGAGAGAGAGAGAGAGAGAGAGAGCGAGCTTTGTCTAGTATAACTGAGTCTTGAGGATACCACCAATTAGGGACTGACAAACCAGAGTACAGACCTATCTGTGAAGAAATTGTATGCGCCTATTAGAATGTAAGCTCCTTGAGGGCAGCGAATGTCTCTCTCTCATATTTGTATCCTCAGCACCTAGCACAGTGGCTGGCACTGAATGAATGCTTGTTGGTTGAGTACTCGTGCCCCACCATCCAGTCCCTTTAGTTTAAGGGTTTTTAAACTGTGAGCATGTGATGCCCAGCACCTTAAGCATGGTAGGAGCTTAATAAACACTTGACTGGATTGCACTGGGTAGGAATGGATTAGATTGGACTAGATGTGCATGAAAAGCTTTTATATAGGAATGGAAACCAGTTGTTGCTGGTGAAGGTCCCATGTCCCCTGGGAATCTCACCCTCTCACCAAGCCCCTTGTCCCCAGTGGTGATGGGGAGGTGGTAGGTGGCACGCTCAGGTCTTGATTCCAAACCATGTGGACTTCCACCCATCAGTGGCACTGCACAATATTTGATAGAACTGGGTTTTCCTTTAAAAGAAGAACACAGCCCAATAGCAATTGAGCAATAGTACTCTGTGCCTGCTTCCTTTCTCCTTCCTGCCCCCATCACTCTAGCATCCAAAGGCCCTATGTAACAAAAGGCCAGAAGCATCTTCTGTTCAACGCTATTTTTCCTACCCTGCCTCCAGCCCTGCACTTTAACCTATTGCTAACATAAACCTACCAAGACCCCCAAGTAATTCCTAGCCCATTTCTCTTGCCATGTTCCATTGCAGTTCAATGACATATACTCATATAGATTTTTAGTGGGGCAAATGTGTACAAGTTTAGAACTATTACAGGAACAGTGTATGATTACTCCTAATCAATAATAAAAACATATGTTTTCTGAATGGTGTTGGATGTGTGTGTGTGTGTCTTTCTTCAGTGGCACTCAGATGCTGGTGCGAGCAGCTCTTGAACATTTCTCCCCAAGACTGGAAAATTACAGTCTTCTTTGCCAAGCTGGAGACAAGAGTTTCAGCTGGTGCCCCACCCCCACCACAGTTCCTTCACTTGCTGAATCCTCAAGCCTCTGTCTGGGCCATTCAGTGAGAGCTGTTTGGGGAATGGGTACAACTCAACTCAGTATGAGAGATGTCCCAGTCTGCCAATCACCACTGCCAACCCCCTCCCCATCAAGGACAACCAAAACAATTGTGAGCTCCAAGTAGAGCTGGGGTGGTCAGACAAAGCCAGTGCAGGAAAGTGCAAAGGATGCTAGATTTGGTGTCAGGGAACATGGGCTCAAATCAGAGCTCTGTTAACTTGTTGCTTGTAGGACCTTGGTCAACTCATTTCCTCTCTGAGCCTCAGCTTCTTCATCTTTGTGATGAAATAGTTGGACTAGATGGTGGCCAAGTTCCCTCCCAGTCCTGGAATTTATGCTCCCATGATCTCCACGATGTTTGCTGAATTCAACTTTCCCCTTTTCCTTTCCTGCTTTCTTCCTTCTCCTCCTTCCCTTTTCATTCTTTCTCTTTTTTTAACTCTTTCTCCCATAACCCACCATCACGTGAAACTTCAAAAGGATTTTTTAATTTGTTAATTTATTGCCTCGGTGGTCATGCACGTTCCCTGTTTTTAATGGAAAAGACAAATGAGCTGACTGTTTGGTTTCTCCCAAAACCAACAGATTTATATGTGTTTGTTTCCCCTTCCTGCCTAAGGCCATTAGCTCACGTTTATGTAAGCACTTTACAGCTTCCCTGTGCAGAGAATCCAAACCTCAGAAGCCAATAGCTCTATCTTACACCTCTGAGGTCCTGTTTTCAATCTGGGGACCCTTTCTGTCTCCACTGAACCAGGAGAATAAGAGGAGAAGGGGGAAGGGAATGGGAAAGACAGCTTAGTCAGGAAACTGGTTTAAAACAAAATTGAACTCAGATGTTTCTTCCTCATGGCATGTGGCTGGCTAGATCACATTTTGTAGCTGACTACAGAAGATCCCTGTCCAAGGGTCAAATAAAGACCAGACTCCTTTATTTGACATTCAAGGTCCTCCATGGACTGGACCAACCTGATGTGTTCCAACTCCAAAATTCTGTGATTACTCTAAATGACCACCAGATAAAAGCCATCAAGCCTGACAGACCTGGCTCCTCTCCAGGCGGCTGGCCTTCATAGGTCTTGCCTGAGTAACCATCAGTCACAACATTAGAGCGTGTTAGAGCTGGAAAGGGAGCTAGGGGGTCACCTTGTCCAACTCCTTCATTTTACAGATGAGGAAACCAAGGCTCAGAGAGGAAATGGGCTATTTTATCTTTGAGAAAAGGAAGCCCAGAAAGGGTGACTGGACCAATGTTAAACTCCAGGCAAATGGCAAAAGAGAAGACCACTTGTAGACTCTCTCATCATTTGAAAACAACCAATCCATATACCATTTTGTGTTGATAATGCGGCAAGAGACATATAAAATTAGGTATAGATACACAGACTCAGTGGATAGAGTACTGGGCTTGGAATCAGGAAGACTTGTCTTCATGAGCTCAAATCTACCCTCAGACACTTATAAGCTGTGTGACTCTGGGCCAGTCACTTAAATCTGGTTGCCTCAGTTTCCTCATTTGTAAAATGAGCTGGAGAGGGGAAAAAGCAAACCACTCCAGTATCTTTGCCAAGAAAACCCCAAATGGGGTCACAAAGAGTCAAACACAATTGAACGGAAACAACAAAATAGACAAAGAAATATGGTTACTTCAAGAGCTAGACAAAACCTAAGAGGTTTTCCCCATTTCATAAATGGGCAAACTGAGTCATAGAGCATCAAGATTGACTTGCCCAAGGTCACACAGCAAATTAAAGGCAGAGCTAGGGCAGAACCAGGACTCCTGATGCTTTGGTTTCTGGGGCTGCCCAGGAAAACATGACAAGAATCAGGGGCTGGTGAAGTGCCTTAAGCCTGAGATAAGGAAGAACATTACACTAAGGAACACTTTGTATGATTTTAGGCAATTCATTTCACTCCTCTGGGGCTCAGTTTCCTCATTTGGAAAAGCAAGGGGTTGGAGCAGATGCTCTCTAAGGTGTCTTACAGCTCTAAAGCCCATGCTCCTAACATCCAGTGAGGATTTTACTTTTAACTGAAAACAATCATGTATTCAGTCAAGAAATATTATGCACCATTAATGCATTATGGATACTCTGGGGGAAAGAAAGTGTATACTCAGCCTCCCACTGAGCCAAAGACACACACACACACACCAGAAAAGTCAGGCTAAAATCCCCCATAATGACTGTCCTTACTGCTGCCAATGTTTCACAGAAAAGGAGGAGGGCCAGAGGGAGATAACCATTCAAAAGGACAGAGTCCATAAGGAAGAGCAGAAGGAAGGGAAAAATTAAGGATAATTGTCACTTTTTCATATGGTTTAGGAAGGTGACCCACCAAAGAGGGACCATGTATTTATATCATTTTCTCCACTGCATAATTTCACCCTCTTCTAGTTCTGAGAAGGAAATAGAGAGTGGTTTTTCCTCTTCAAGTAATGTTCCAGTTTTTCCAGAGAGATAACAAAGCAACTATTCTAATTCCACAGTTCTTCCACAAATCACTTTTCTTAGGGCCTCAGTTTCCCCAGCTGTACACTGAATTGGTTCATAAGATCACAGGATCATAGAGCTAAGGCTGGAAGGGATTTCAAAGGCTATCTAGCCCAACCTCCTTTTTTTTATTTATAGGTAGGAAAAGATAAGCCAAGGGAGGGTCACAGACAGTAAGCATCAGGGTTGGGACTAGGACCCAGATCTTTTGACTCCAGGCTTAATGGATGAGATGACTTCTGAGGCCCCTTCTAGGTAGGAAATTCTGTGGTTCTGTGCTCCTAAGGACAGTTATGCCCCTAGACATCAGGAGACAACTAGCCTGGGAGGTGCCAGAATTCCAGACTTTGTCATTTAAGTTTAATTGCTTCTCAGACCTAAGTGGATATGTGGAGGCCCAAGGGGAAAAATCAGAAAGAAAAAATGCTTCATCATTTTTCTCCGAGTACTTCCCCACTAACTCCTGGAAAAATCCTGATCATTAAAATATTTGGAGCAAAAATAGCTACGTAAAATGTATGTTTAATTGCAGATGACTAATGGTGAAGAATGCTGCCCATCCCCCGACAGAGGAAACGAGCTAACCAGGCAGAACGAAACACACATTCTTTGACAGGACCAATACGAGATCTGTTTTACTTGACAATGCATAGGGTTGTCAAGGGCTTTTTCTTCCCTTTTTTCTGGGGGGGGGGGAAGGCAGAGGGAGTAGGAGGAGAAAATAAATGTTAATTTTTTAAAAATAAATTTTAAAGAAAAATATGTATGTCTCTTGATAGCCAGCCTTTATTCCCCAAATGAGTTTGAAAGACTATGCACTATTTTGACAAGGTTTTTTCATCCCCTCTCCCTCCCCAGTATTTTTTCTAGGATACTTTCTCTTATTGAACTGTCTACAATATCAGAACATCCCAGTTCTGAGATGCTGAGGACAAGCAGAACCATGGAATCATAGATTTAGAGTTGGAAGGAACCTTGGAAATCCCCTAGTCTGACCCCTTTATTTTGTCAATGAGGAAAACCAGGACCCGAAGAAATTAAGTCTCTCAAGGGTACCTGACAGCTCTAGCTCTGGGCCAAGGATTTATCCAAGTTCACATAAGAGAAAAAGAAGAGCTGGATTTGAACCTATAATCTCTGACTCAAAATCCAGAGCTCTTTCCACTCTGTCCATCAAGGGGATGTTATGAGCGTATGTAGGTGGCCAAAGAGAGCGGCCCAGGGGTGTTGGCCATGGGTAGACTGGATAGATAGATGATAGAGAGATAGAGTATGTAGGTAGGTAGTAAGTAGGCAGATAGAGCATTTATTAAGTGCTTACTGTGTGCCAGATTCTATGCTAAGTGCTGGAAATACAAATAAAAGTAAACAAGATGGTCTCGACTCTCAGAGAGCTTACATTCAAATAGGGGAAGTTGGAGAGTAAGGATTGTGCGTGGAGAGTGTACCCATTCAAGGAGTAAGGCGTTGAGGAGGTGGAAAAGTCCAAGCATTTGGAGTGAAGGGCAGCTAGGTGGAGGAAGGGATAGGGTACTGTGCCAGGCGTCAGGAAGACTTGCATTCAAATCTACCCTCAGACACTTACTACCTGTGTGACCCTGGGTAGGTCACTTACCCTGTTTGCCTCAGTTTCCCCATCTGTAAAATGAGTTGGAGAAGGAAACGGCGAAACCGTTCCAGTGTCTTTACCAAGAAAACCCCAAATAGGGTCACAAAGAATCAGACATGACTGACGAACAACAACAGTATCTAGAAGTGAGGTCGGCCTGGCCCTCAGGAAATAGAGTCCCAAGCCAGGGACTCAGCCACCCAGAGAGAAGCCCCCCAGGTGGAGGCACCAAAGCAGCACCTCATGTGAGATGTTGAAGATGTTAGTAGCTGAGAGTCCCTTTAAGTAATCTATTCATAGGGAGATACAGGATTTACGTCCAAATAGCCATTAACCTACATCTTTATGGCTTTTTTTTTCCTTCTGAGCATACTGGGGCCTTGGATATAGCAGCTGCTCAATAGATATCTCTACTCTCCAGCAGCTCACTGTCTAGGAAGGAAGAAAAGAGATAGAGACGAGCCCTTTGATCATTCCCACGTGAGCTAATGCAGATTGGTACCTGCTCAGAAATTTATAATCTTAAAGACTGTTTAGAACAGAGGTGTCAAACACCCAGTGGCCAGCACAGCCTGAAACAGGTTAAAATGTAATGGGGGGGGGGAGCTAGGTGGCATAGTAGAGCACCAACCCTAAAGTCAGGAGGACCTGAGTTCAAATCTGGCCTCAGACACTTGATACTAGCTGTGTGACCCTACGCAAGTCAC